ACAGGGATTGCGTGGTCCAAGAGGAAAGTCAGGACGTAACGGAGAAACTGGAAAGCAGGTCAGAACTGCTTGTTCATTTGCAGCGAGCAATTTTGTATGACAAATTCTAATTTTCTCTTACGTTTTAGGGATTACCCGGAGAAGATGGCCGCGCGGGAAGGCCTGGAAGAGTAGTAAGTAATATCTCTCGTCCAAAAATAAATTTACGTAAAGTTATCGTGTTAGGTTTACAATTTTGTAACACTTTCTTTACTTAAACTAAACGGCTGACTTTAGGATTAAAATAAACTTAAAATGGTGATAGTGACTGATTTTTGACAAAGTAACTATGTATTTTTTCATACAGACACGAGCGTCTCACTGGAAAATACACCACTCGTAAAAAATTCATACGAAACTACATCCGTGACCCGAGTGGCGTATTTTCCGCATCTTCATTAGTGAGGATATTGATGATGTCATTCCATGCATTTCGCGTTTGTTTGCACAAATAGTCTGTTTGTCTAAATAATAAAGAAAATTACACAGTGGCTTGAAGATATGAATTTTATTTTTTCTCGTGCTGTGCTCGTTCGTAAAATAGTATGTTGTTTTTACCACTCGAAAATATAGTTCATATCTTCGCGCGCCGTGTCATATCCTTTATGGATTTCACTGAGAGCGTATTTTTCAAATTGCACTTGCTAGGGCCCGCGTGGTATGATGGGAAGTCCAGGCTTCAACGGCCCAAGAGGCTCACAGGTAGGAATGAGTTATCATACCAAAGGAGACCAACTTGACTCAAACGATTCCCAACTTATTTCGATGCAGTACAGTTCAATTGGACAAGGAGAAATGAGACTTTTGATATGTTATAAATCGTTCATGTGTAATAAAGTAATTGGAGCATTACCGATGGGCTCCTGGCATTACACGAGAATGTCCCTGCACATGAAAAGCAGGTCTTATTTGAGCCATCGATCCTGTTATAGGTAGGTGTTTCTTCAAGTGTAACACGTGCTATTTGAGTGCTCTTGAACATCATGTTCGCCTTCCTATGTGTTGTCAAACTCTCCAGGAAGGGGGTACCCCCATATATTGGCTATATAGGTATGTGTCGTGGGATAGGGTATGTTCCCGATCCTTAAATGGGGTATTATTTTTGTCCCTGTTGACATGGTCTTCCCGGTTTGATCCTTAGATTGGGTACCTAAAGTGTATCACTTAGAATTCCAATGTGTGAATGCCCAGCTAAACGAACACAAATTCTATTCTTGATGCATAACTTACAATGTTACAGAAACCAAATAAAGTTGACCCGTTCATGCTCTTCTCAATTTTTGCTTTTCCCTTGTACAGGGTGTAATTTTTCGAGTTTGTGCCTTAAATAGGGTATCAATTTGCGTCTGTTTCATCCTTAAATATGATCAGGGTTTAAGACCCTTCGCGGCACACACCTATCCGAAATTTACGGGGGTAGCCCCCTCACCCCCAGGGGTCAAACCATTTACACGTTAGTCTGTGTTATGTGTTAGGGTGCAGACGGGCGACCCGGAGCCACAGGACGAGCTGGACCGCGAGGACCCAAGGTGCGTTCAAAATTATTGTAGTAGGTCATCGGTATTTAAACTTAACTCAAATCTACCTCAGGTAATTGACGTTCTGGGGCGCTTGTGTATTTACTTCTGTTTGACGAGACAGACTTCTTACAGCATCAACAGAGCCATAACTTTTATATCTATATCGTGTTCTTCGATAAGAAAAAAATATCTTCGGTGATATTTACTACTCGGGAGATAATCATTACGAAATAGGCCCATTACAAAGAGACAGAACTGAGGTTAACAAGATTAAGGTAAAAGACGGTCGTAACGTCTCGTCCCCAGCCGAACGGACCCGAGAGAGCGGCGGAAATCGAGCCTACCCTCCTAACTGGTAAATTTTGTGTCTCACAAGGGTGATCGTGGACAAAAGGGTCAACGAGGACTTCCAGGAAGACCCGGAAGGCAGGTAAGTAAAGTTAGTAACGTGCGATCGAGGATGGTAAACCTTTGAAGGAGATTTGAATTTGAATTCTTTCACTGAGCCAAGGTCAGTAAACGACAGGTAAGGCCGAATAAGCTGTGTCGTAAGTGTAATATTAGCTCTTTCCCGACCATTTGCCGGTTAATTAAGAACATTTAAAATCGACTAACAGGTCAAAGAAAATGGCTGTTTGCGGACACAGTCAGCAAACCATAAATGAACTACTACGACCTAACTAAACTACGACCTCGATTTAGAAAACAGTTAAAAAGCGCAAGAGACTGTGGCCCAGAAGCGGCGATAAAATTGCGCGAAAGTTAACAGAAACAAGAAACGTGAACGTGAACTGTGATGTAACGTAAAATGACGTTAAGAGTGTCTTTTCTGTCTCAGGGTCGTCGCGGAAGAAGCGGAGAGCCTGGTTTGCAGGGAAGTCTTGGATTACAGGTTGGAAAGTTGTTTGTATTTAGTAGTTCACTGTAAAACAACTGCTTGTTTACAAGGCAACGGACAGCGGTCCATGTAGAATTGATATTCTATGTCGAGAAACCGTCGCTTTTCTATGCTGATTCTTCGTTTCAAATAAGCCCCATCCCCTCCCTTCGGAGCAAGGTGTTTTTAGCTAGCGTTTTTATAAAACAGTTAGCTCACTCACGTTTGTTGGATATAAGATGATTACAGACAACTCAGTCCTACGCGCCTCATTGGCTATTTATCATCTCATATCTAACGTCCGTTCGTGCAATAATTGTTAAATGTGCACTCGATATATTTACAGGGCCTCCCTGGGCCGATAGGCGCGCCAGGGTACCCAGGACGTGCGGGGAGAAGGGTGAGTTCATTTTAGGAATGCTGTAAATCGTTCATTTCCTAAGCATTCTATACGACCACTAGTAAGTCTTTCTTCAGGCATTATTCTAGCTGTGTATGAGGT